TCTCTCTCTCTCTCTCTCTCTCTCTCTCTCTCTTCATTATGTGTCTGTCCCTTTCCTTCTGGCTCTCCCTCTCCCTTCCCTCTCCCTCTCTCTTTCCCTCTCCCTCCTTTCTCTCTACCGACCTACATCTGTCGTTCTCTATCACTCCTTTCCTTCAAAAAGCTCTCCCTTTGACAGTAGTCCTACTTGACACGTAATCCCCCTTACCCACCTTCCTTCTGGTCTTCCTTTCTCTCTATCCATGTCTACATTTGTGACCCTCTTCAATGTGCGATAAGCGATGATGAAAAAAAAAGGTGAGTAAAAATCAAGTACACAACTTAACAACCCTAGCGATCCGCTGTTTTTTACAGCCATCTTTCTTCCTCAATCGCTATTTGTCTTGACAGCAACTAATTCCCCACCCAACCGACAAGGGAATAGATTGAAAAATGCAAAACAGTTCAGAAGCTCGCATAACGGGCATTAGGCTGCGGTCGACATTTTTCCGAAGCAAGGACGCCATGTCGAACAGAAATTATTACGCTGTCCGCATCTGAAGCAAAAGAAAAATGTGCAGTATCATTCCGGTGAAGATGAAAAGAAAAAATAATAAAAATAACATTCATTCATGGAAAGCTATTTCCGGGGATCATTCGACATGCCGCGAGGGGGGTTCATGTTCCCTTTGCTTTGTGTGTGTGTGCGCATGCGCACGTGTGTGTTTGGGTGTGTGTTTTTTTGTTGTTTATTTATTTTTATTTTATTTTTTTAGGGGGGGGGCGTGTTGTGAGAAGTTTTGTTTTCTTTTGTATGTGGGTGATGCCAAATGTTCCACAGAAATAAAACGGAGAATTGCAATAGCTAAGGCTAGTTTCAATAAAATTAGCCTAATCCTGAAAAAAGAAAACATCTCAATAACTACCTAAATGAAAGTTCTGAAATGCTATGGATGGTCAACCCTTCTATATGGCTGTGAATGCTGGGCAATCACTAAAGACAATGAAAATAAAAGAGAAGCTACAGATATGTAGTTTCTTATGAGACTGCTGAGAATATTGTGAAAGGAAAAGAAATCAAATTAGGTAGCGCTCGATGATGCCCACGTGGGACGCTCAATGTTAAAAACAATCAGGGAGCGACGTAAAGGTTTTAAACATCTAGCTCTCACTCACAAAATTAAAGGCAAACGGAACAGGGGCTGGCCTAGGGCAACCTACTTTGGGAACCTAAACAAACGGGTAACAGGGAAGATCAGAGAAACGTAGCTTTGTTAAGAGCATCCGAGCAAAGGAATGAATAGAGAACCATAATCGCCGATTTCTGTCGCAGATCTGGCACTGGATAAAATGAAACGTGTTTTTCTCTATGTGTTTGGGCCGGGAGTAGAGCTCACTCGGAAGAATTAGAGAAGTTCAGTTGAGTTTTGTGTTTTCCTGTGTTTGTTTACTTCTTTTGCATTTTTTTGGTAAACGTTTAACGGCGCTCCCAACTGCATAAGGGCATGAGCGCGCGGGACACATTGAACATTTTCAGTTGGAAGGAAATTTTGAATTTTTCCCGGGTGGCGACCGAAGCCTACTCTTATCGATTTTAGTCCGCCAAGGGATCTTTAACGTGCGCAACTTGCACTCTGGGCCTCCGAGATTTTCACCCTTGTCCAAGAAAGCTACTCGTAGGTGTAGATCTTCCCTACCAGAAGATCAAGGGTATGGTTGAAAAACAGCAGTAAGAAGGTGTTAAGGAGTAGCAGTAGAAAGGCTGCAGAAAGAGTCAGAAGCCCAGAGGATGAGGCAAAGGAGGTGAGGGGGTAAGGGCAGAAAGTGAAGACGAAAGCAGACGACAGAACATTGCTAGAGAGCACGAAAGGGGGTGAAAGGAGATAATTTTAGGGGGAAAAAACTTTCGGTCGCTACCCGGATTCGAACCCGGAACCTTTGAATGTGGGGTGAACACCTTTACCTCTAGGTCACGAGCCCCCCCCCCCCCCTCCCCCTCTTTCCCCCCGTTTCCTTTTTTTCTGAAAGTTTGACAGGTTAGTCGCTTACAGGCTCGTTAGTTTGTCTGTTTAAGTGTTTGAAATCGTCATTGCACACGTCTTCCAACGCTATTGTGGTTATTTCTGCTTTCCAGAATGATGACTACAGCCATGTGGAAAAGCTCTTTGCATTCACTTCCCTTTTCCTTTTTATGTGCCACCAAATTCTCAGAGAACAGCTCACAACGTTAAACGACTAGAGTAGTACGCTTGTCAACATTTACAGACACATCATCAAAAAAATGTTTCGATCAAATGCAAAGTTTGAAAATACCTTTCCTTATTAACGCATATGAATACAACAGAAATAGGAGGAGGGGGCAGTAGTCAAGTGAAAACCATTGTGGACAATTGCCTTTACTCCACGGCGTATTCTTTTTACACCACTTTCAAAAGAGTCACCAGTTTATGTATATGGTCCTTTTTAATGAAAACATTTTCAGTATTGACAGACAGAATGAAACTAGCAAAACATTAACCAAAATTGGCAAATTCGACGAAAGCCCCCCCCCCCCCCCCCCCCTCCTTCCCCCCTTGAATCTTAATTTTTCAAGCTCTACCAAACGTAATGACATAAAAATGTTTGGCTGCAGAGATTTCAAAAATACAACTGTATACCTTCGACAAGCCGAATGTCTCTCCTCTCACCCACGCCACAGGGGTGATAGATCACAAAGATTAAGTTTAAGGAGTGTCAAGTTTCTGTCATCAGAATCGTGAATAACAAAATTTACAGATCAGCGAGTAGCAATCATTGGCTCAAGATCAGAAAACATAATAATGATCTAAGTTATTTTAAAGCGTGATCTGTCCATAAAGATTCGAATTTTGAATAAACTTCCCCGCAATAATATTGATCGGTTACCTCGGATCTCATCCGAAGGCAGTAAAACGGTATCAAGCGTGATT